GTTTGAATTTTTAAAATTTTAAAAATTTTTGAAATCCACCCACGCGTCGCGAGATTTCTTTTACTTTCGTGAAAAACTCTGCCGGGAAAGGAAATTCGTCCTCGAGCTTTGCGACAAGCAGGCACAAGCTACATTTTTTATATACGCGAGAACTTACGCCGGATGTGAAGTTTCCTCGCCTAATACCCAGCGCGAAAGAGAAGAGAAGGAAGAAAGGTGGAGGGCGTTTCATTAGGAGATTCCGAAGTTCGGCACGGGAATCCATTTAATCGGCACGCGGACGTTCTTACGAAATTCCAGTGAACGCTTGTTGTCGTCGCCGTGAGTAAATCATTCGACTGTAGGTTTCTGTTGGCAGCTGGGATGGGTCTGTCAGTACGACGCTTTGCCGACCATTGCTCAAAGTATCTTCTTCATCGGCGCTATCTTCGGTGGACTGATTTTTGGATGGATCGCCGATCAATACGGCAGGATACCAGCTTTGATCGGGGCTAATTTAATGGGATTTCTCGCTGGAGTGGCCACCGCATTCACCGATACGTTCTGGCAGTTCACGTTGTGCCGTTTTTTCGTCGGATTTGCCTTCGACAATTGCTTCACCATGATGTATATATTAGGTAATTATCTTCCGATTGTTTCTTCTTCGTTCAGGAAATTCATAGCCTCTTTTAGCAGCTGCCTGTTGCAAGTGCCAAGCTATTACATTGCACCAAGACGTATATAACTCTTAAAAACAATCGTGAATCAAAGCTCATCACGATTAACACTGATTGACAGTGTTGCCGGATGAATAGAATCAAATGATTGCTCGCAACAAGTTTATACGAATTGTAACCATTTTGAAATTTGAAAAAAAAAAAAACGAATTTGGCACAAAATTCTATCTCCATTTGGAATATTTTTTCGACGAGAAAACTGTCGTTTTCACCTTCTCTGTAACTCTATAATTGTTTTCTAATTTCGTTATAATGTATGTTTCGAGATGATCGTACTACTGTGATTTACATTCGAAGACTATCTTTAACATCTTGAAGTTAAGGAAGAAGATTTTAAAATGCAAATTACAATGTAATTTCCACGAGGCTCTATTGCCACGCTTGATTTACGACTGACATTTCTTCAGGTGCATGAATTTTGCAACGAGACACGTGACACTAAAATACACACGAATATACACGAGGCCATAGACTTTTCACTAAGTTTAGATCATCCTTCTATTGTTCAATAATGGTGAAGACTGATGATAAAAACACTGAAAGATTACGTCTAACTTCCTTTTCTAACTGCAATCAATTGTAACTTTCCTCCAGGGACAATATTCTGACTGCAGAGGGTTAGTTACTTAAAACTGCACTTAATTACTGAACAACCATAATATATCAAACTTTCCATAAACTTCCGCTTCCACAAACAGAAAGTGAAGGTTATCAGCGAATAATAATCTCGCGGCTAACGCTTTCACGGCTATAAATCTTCACGTATATACATATATAGACTCAATACGAGCACTTGTTGTAAATGTTAAGGGACATTTTCTCGTGATAAATTTGCTTAGAATACTTTGAAACGTCGTGTCGTAGTATAAAAAAATAACTAATACAACAAGTCAATTTCAAATCACGTTGAAAATCACGTTTTTAAAATACGCAACAGGGACAGTCAGTTAATCAATTCTGCGTAGCACTCACAAGTGGAGAAAGGGTTTAACGTAACTTTAGCCGATAGATAGTTGGCCAAACGAGTCATTGGAACGCGTTCCCTTGATCGAATAGCAAGTTTGCACCGCTGACAGCATTTCTAATTGTGAAAATCGAGACCGACGAAAACTCAGGTGGCGTGAACCGTGACTCGATGACTCAAGTCGAGGCTGGAAAAATTGGCTGCTTGTTCTACGAAAACTAAGGCCAAGTTGACGAGAGTCGCGAGCAAGGTGGTTTATCAGTTACTCGCTGTTCGAATTGCATACCTTCTCGAAGTCAATTTGACTTTTGAAGTCTCCTACTGTGATCAATATTTCATACTTCGTGTTTACTCGAATTTGGTCGATATTTTATGGAATATATTTTCTTTCTCGCTCTCCTCTTTATTGTAACTGCAGGGAATTCCAATACGTACGAATTCTTATTGAACATTTCGACTGTTGCGTAGAGTATCAGTAACACGTGCCTTTCTTAGCCTCACAATTTATAGACTATTGAAGCAGAAACACGCTCCACTGGCTCGTTTAAGTGCATAAAATTGAATCAACTACAAATTCATATATAAATTGCAGATAATAAGAGAAATGACGCGGACGGAAATATGCAAAGTGTAAATACGCTGGTTTATGAAATTCAGACATTTACCGTGAAAGTGTTATATAAAACACTTTGAAACTCGGCTGCTAACAAATGGAGTGCGGGCAACTCTTGCGCAACTTCGCCTTTTTATAGACCTAACGAAGTACAATTTAAAAACATTTTTAAAAATTTCTTTCATCTATGAAAAACTTACAACGAGCTCTCGTATTTGCATTTGTTACATGCGTACTGTAAATCTCTCTATAATTTAACTACGTAACTACTGTAATAAAATTTTGCTCTGTCCGTCGAATATTACAACCTTACAAGCGAGCTTACTACTCTCGAATATTTTATAACAAGTGTCGAAGAACACTTTCGTAAGTCGCTGTAGCTAATTACACGAAAGAGAAGAGAAGAGAAGAAGAAGAAGAAAAAGAGACGAAGAGAGAAGGAACGGTCAATCAGTTTCGAAATGCTAACAGTGTCCTTGGTTTGGACGGTGCTCGTGTTGCTCGATCGATCGATCGCTCAGCAAACACGCGAGCTATCGGTCAGATTATTGTTATTAATAACATAGGATCGTTTGTAATTTATATCTTTGGCTAACCGTGTCACGTGAAATCTTCGTCCCCTTGGCTCTTGATCGAGCGACAGCGATATGAAATTGCACGGTGACGGAACGGTGGAAACACCTGCACGGAAGGCGAATGTCTTTCCTACGTGAATAATGTTACGTTGAAGGCAATAAACCTTGATAGGCCAGAGTGATGAAACGAGCGGTCTCAGGAAAGGTTTTCTGCTTCTTCGTTTTCTCCTTTCCGTGCCGTTTCTACGAGAATAACGTCTCTTCTCTGTCGCTCTATCTCAATATTGCGAACAGAATAATTTTAATGGCGATGCAAGGAGAATGATATGATATTAGGAAAAAGAGGATGATGAATGGCCCAGATTTTCAGAATATCATCACTTGGCTTACATTCTCAAAGAATTTTTAAGCATTGTTTCGTCTTACGAGAAAATTAATTATATTAATCTTCGTGCAATGAGTGAACTAGAAGATATACGTCTGGCCATCAAGTCAATTTACTTGACTTTGCCAGAAGGATCTGTTTTTTTTTTTTTTTTTTTTTTTTTTTT